TCCAGAAACGCGCCGTGTAGTTGGGAAAATAAGATGTATATACACGAGCCGGTTGCAAAAGTAGATGACTTGTCTGAAGTTTTCCAGTAAATACCATAATTGTTAGGAAAGAGCTTGAAGTTGGAGAAGGGAAAGAAAAGCTGACCGGTTTTAAACTAACTTCTGACCACAGTGACCACAGACATCAAGGATGAGGGTGATCTGTTTTCCAAGAAGAGACTAAGGGAAAAATCTCCCTGTATGCAGAGGCCCAAGTTATCTTGAAGTTCCTGGAGGAGCAGAAGAGCTAAAGAGAGGGTGAGTGTAATCTTGAGCAGCCCTAGAAAGCTGGGAATGGGACGCAGGGGAGAGGAATGACTTCGGGGGCTGGAAGCAGAGGACTTGGTTCTAAAAATAGTCCTGTCCCTCTTGATCGGATCCTGAGCAAAGCCCTGCATGTCACCTCTTGGCTCGCAGCATCCTTGTTAGAAAATTAGAGAAAATATTTGCCTCCTTCCTAAGGGAACAAAAGAAAATTACAGTGGTCCTGAGTAATTTGGCCCCGTTTGGGAAGGAAACATGTCTGCACTGCGTGAAGTGGAGCTGAGAATCTTCCAGGCTTTTCCCCTGCTTTGCCACAAGCTTGGGGCCCTTAGAACATCTTCCTGTGTTCTTTCTTTCCTCTCTCTTTTCTTTCTTCCTTCCTTCCTTTTTGTTTTTTTTTTTTTAAAAAAAAACTTGTATAAATGTTTTGAAATGTTGCCTTTCTGAAAAGGTTTTATAAAAATATTACCTACACATGGCAAATATTTAAGTAGTACAGAAGGGAATACAGTGATAAAGCAGGGTTCCCTTCTACTTTAAATGTCCCTTCCCTCCAAGGCACTTATGAGTCCCAGTTTCTTCTACATACTTAAAGCGATTTCAATACACAGAGAAAACTGCCTCACTCCTTTCACTGCTGGCTGTTTCTCCATTGTCAGATATGCCACAGTTTACTCACCAGTGCCAAGGGCACTGGTTCTTAGGACACTTTAAGTCTGCTAAGAGTGAAAGGCATTTTCCTAGTCGTTCATTGCCAGTTCTTGTTTATGGGGCCTGCTGTATGCAGACACAGTGCTGGGTTTTGAGACGCGGAGAGAGGCAGAGCCCCTTCCCTTGGGAACTCAGAGCCTAGCGGAGGAGGTGGGCATTTAGGAGACATCTGAGGGCTCTCACAGGTCTGTGCGTGCACAGGGCTGGGGTCTCGCCCTGGTACTCTGTGCTTCTCCCGGCTGTGACTTCTCAGCCAAGGTGGAAAGTAAAAACAGCTGCCCTCCAGAATGTAGCCCCAGCTAAGGTGTTTAGAGTCAGGGGAGGGAATCCTGTAGCAAGGAAGTAAAAACCAAAAACCTTGGTTCAAAAATATCATAGAAAGAGCACGGGAAAGTCACAATACCTGTAAAATCTGGGGGAACAGGGTTTGTTTAGCAAAGGCAGTAGGCTCATAAGGAATGGGAGAGAGGGGGCCAGGAAAAGGTGACCAAAGACACAAGTCATCTACTTCCAAATGTTCTCTGCCTTCCTCGGAGCATTCCTCTCCCACCCCCCCTGCATGTCAAGCTCCTGGCACGCCTGAAAGGGCTTTTCGTCTCCTCCCCTTGGCCTTGCTTCATCTGGATCAGAGACAGCCTCCCACGGGGGGCTCCCACGTAGATCTCTGTGGGCATGAGCCCAGGGTTCACGGTGGCAGCGAATCCTGCCCTGGAGGTGCTGTACCCCTCGCATGGTTGACCGTGGACCCCATCACCAAAACTATGCCACGTCCCAGGAGAAACAAGGGGGTCCTGTGAGACACTCTAAAGACTGGAGTACTGAGAAAGAGCCCACAAGAAGGGGTGGGTGGGCCTTGTCTTCCATTATTGTGATTTACACCGTGTGTCCCAGCCTGGCTCCACAGGGGAACAGTTGCTGGGCCTTGAGATGCGCAGGAAGTGGGTCTCCTTGGTGGCGGTGTCTGTGTGTGGTGAGGGAGAGAGAGCTGGGGAGAGGATGGAAATACTTAAATGTGCTCTTTACCTCTCAAAGCGAGACTGTTTATTCTGCAGCCTCATAGCAGGCTGGAGGCCACACTATTTCTGATCTAGAGCTAGTGGAGCAAAGAGAAAGACCTGCTG